AACCACCACGCATCCAAAATGATAAAATTAGATAATTCTCTTAGATAATTCTGAGCAGTGTTAAATGATTAAAAAACTTTTTTGCCATTTTTCAAGAAAACTATTAGGTTGCGACCTATGATTCCTTGGAAAAGTTTGACCTTCATGGTGAGTAGAATACAATGCAAACAAACAAACAAAAATTTTGATTTTGAAATTCAAGATCAAGGTCGATTTCGCGACAGATTCTTTATATGTATCTCCATCAATCTGAAGATATAGAATTCATCTATGATACATAATATATATTAACATAATATATACATAACCTAAACTCTTATCTTTAATTTACAGATTATATAAACGAAAATTGGGCAAATTTGAGTAAAGCTATGTATACAATAGTGAAATTATAGAAAATGTTTATTATAATTTAATCAACAATGAATAAATATCACCAATATATTGGATTTGGGTGTGAGTTAGGATTTTCAATCGGTCGGCACTTTTTGCGTAAAATTTTTTTTACTCGGTAAAAGATGTTACTAATCTTTATGTACTTCATTTTCAATACATAGTAGACTTATTAATTTAGGTTTTTCTAGAAGTTATTTATTTAAATTCGTAAAATACTTATGATACAAGGAAGGATGACTATGTCAAATGGTTGAACGTGCCAGTTATATTTGCGGATAAATATATAAATATATGAACAAAATTCTAAAACTGGCAATTTTTTACACATATATTAGAAATTAAAAGAATTTAATGTTTTTATAAAACAGAAAAGGTTGTTTCAAATATCAATTTCTACAATATATTCAAAAATGAGTGAACGGTCTTTCTCTAAATTATTTAATTAAACGCTAACATATTTAAATATGTTATTTAATTAAATATTCAGTTAAATTGTAAAATAATATAAATAGTATGTAAAATCATAAATATCACGATGTAATGTATTTACAAATGATAGCGATATGATTTCAGGAGAACGTTTATAATCTAACAGGACTACATATCTGTTAAAATTAATCGTTAGAAAATAAAGGGTTATTTTTGGGAATTAGAAATTTGCGGATTTTATTGTCAAGGTATAAATATTATTATTGAAGTTAGTACTGAATTTAAAAATGAGTGGGAAAATGTTTGAATAGCATTTTATCTTTCATTTATAATTATATGACAATGGCTAATATCTAATAATTCCCAAGATCAATCTTATGAAACTTGCCAGAAAAATAACGCGCTGAATATGCTATAAAAAGAGAAACAAAAGAATTATTTATTAAAAACCTATAAAAATATTAAGAGTTTTAAAACAGATGAGCAGAATAATTTTACTTATTTTCAAATCAATAATGCACTTAAATTGTTTATTATAGTGCATTATAATAAACATATTAGGCAGTAAAAACAATCTTTATAGTTAGTATTTAAATATTTATATTCTCTGTAATATATCAATGGATGAAATTTGGATAAAAATTTTTTTTTATACGATAAATATAGTTATTTAAATAAATTTTGAAAAAATTAATTTGTTTAAATAACAGCACAAAAGACTGAGAATGATAGTAGTATAAGTCCAAACTTTTATAATTTGAGTCAATGATATTTCAAATTGAAGGCTCTATTTTTCATGGCCAATTGTTATAACTTCAATCATTACTGTAACGATTAACTTTCATTCCTAACATTTTTTTATCAGACTATTCAAAGTCCATAAAAAATCATGGCAACGTTACAGTATATATAGATATAATTTATAAATTTTATTTGTAATTTAAAAAAATATTTTAGATAATATTTAATATTGTAATTTTTTACCGATTGACTACTCTTCAATTTTAATCTTCTTTTATTGTAAAAGACCTTTAACAGCTTGTAAAACTAATATATCAAAATAATATTGTTG